GTTTAGGGTTTTGGGCTTGGGTGGCTGCCGAGAATTCAAACTAGAATTACTACTGTCAGGGTCTTGTGCTGTGTCAACGCTGACTCACTGGGATTTGCAGCTTCGAATCGAACACTCTACGGTAATTGCACGGGATTTGACAATTTGCCGCGGGGCTTGTTTTGTCGATTAGGCTTTTGGAGCACAGGAATAATTGTACGAAGAAGCCTTAAGGTATAGCTGCAGCCCCTCCTGTCATTGCTGCCACTACTAGCTGCCACTGCCACTACGACTACGACTACGACTACTATTACTGCTACTATTACTACGACGACGACGACGACGACGACGACGACGGCTGCTAGTGCTACGACGGAGAATGCAAGCAGCACTGGCCGGCACGTTCCTGGTTGATCGAAGGCTTTCTGTCGGTTGCGAAACGCCGGTAAGAGAGGTATCTTTTCTAGGTTCCCCAGTAGCCCCTTAATAATAACGGTACCCTTTTTCCTAATATTCGGTTTTAACAAGGACCCCAAAACAAAAAGGGCAAAAGGGTACCACTGGGTTCTGGTGCAAGCCTAAGTGGCTGTTTACAATGTAAAGCAAGGGCTGCACGACCCGTTTCTTAATTTCATATGCATATTTGAGGCACCTCAGGGACTGACAAGACTAGTTTAGCGTTCAGAGCCTCGGGGTACAATGCGCAAACCTAAACCACACAATCAAAAACCTGCTTTCTTGTGTATTGAATACCTCGGATTACCTTGGACTCTCAGGTTCCTGCTTTCGGGTTGATGCACATGTGCCAGTCAGCTAAGCACATGGGTACAGGGTCTAGGGCTTTAGGGTGCTTTCTGCCGGTGAGCAGCAAACACTCACTGATGCAACCATCGGCGAGCTCAAACTAGACTGGAATAGACTGAGGCAAGTCCGTCTTGAACCCGAAACCCCCAAACGCCCGAAAACCGAAACCGGCCTCCTGACTCAAGGACATCTGGCTTTCCAGGCCGATGATGAAGGAGTTGAGGATGATTACCTTGCGGTCGCTTCAGGGCTTAACCTCACAGCTCCTGGATCAGGATTCATGACTATTAGCGCCATAACGCTCGGGCCAGAGGGCTTTGTGAGAACCATGCCTGTGTGTGTTTGCTGTTTGCGAAAGAATCAGAGCTACAATGAAGGACTTGTCATCGTCATGACCAGATAGGGGATAGGTGTGCATGCAGAGGCCTTCGAAGCATGCTTGTGATGCTTGGGAGCACTTTGAACACAATGATCTGATTCTTGCTGTTGGCCCTATTGGTAAACACAGGTATCTAGGTATGTCTGTTTATATCTAGCTTCCTTCTTTATCTAGTCAAATCTAAAATATGCACGACATGTACAAGCGGTATTCATACTTGCGGCTTTGCTATGACTATCGTTGTTGCAACTCTACCCACTAGCATCAGTCTGTGTCTTGATAGAGTCAGGACTCTGGCTGTGAGTATGAACATGAATACGAGCGTTAATACATGGAGCAGCTCATGTTTATAATTAAAACATATACTGCGATGAAGGTCTTTCTTCGGTTGGACCTGGTACCAGTATCATTGCGATTCTTGTTACTGTTGTGGAGATACGTGTTCACGAAACTTCTTTAGCTGCTGCGGCTACTGTTAGAGAAGTGCTACAAGCTACTCCTCCTCCTCCTCCCCCTCCTCCTCCTGCTGCTGCTGCTGCCGCGGCTGCTGCTGCTGCTGTCTCACTCTCGTGCTTGCTGGGGCTACCAAGAGTTGTTTCTAGCAGCTGGCATGATTCAGCTGCGCTGTGCGAATGGTTCTGCAGCAAACGCTCGGAACGGTTGCCTCGAAAAAACGAACTGAACACTGGCCGCACCAGGCCCACCGACCACCTACTGTAGAGCTCGCCTCCTAAACCCCTGAAGCCCTAAAGTCCTTCTTCATCTACAATAATTAAACTCTAGCCCAATGGCTTCAGAGTCGTCTTGTCGTGCTTTGGCAGTCTGCTCAAAAAGTCAACGGACTCCTGTGTCTTTCAGGGTTTAGGGTTACGGCTAAAGCTCTGTAAGGTTCAATGGCTTGAGGCACGTGGGGAGGGTTGATGCCGTCAGGGCACGGCGAGGATCACGAACTCGAAAGCGATGCTACCAACAAGTTTCCGACTGATTGCCTGCTCAGTCGAGGTTTCATCGCGCACTTGAGGGTTCATGGGTAGTTAGTTTTAGTGGTTATAAGTAGGGTAACTACAATCATAGCCCATATGAGTTGACCTGTAACTCACTTATAAACCCTAAACCAAGGCTTTGGGCTGTCTTCCAAGGCTTTGGGTGTGAAAGGGTTGTTGGGTTATTTGAAGGCTTTTCTAGGTTGCTGTGAGGCTTTGTCAGAGTTGAACAAGCTTTCGCAAGGACTTGATAGGAGCCCTAAACCCTAAACCCTAAACCCTAAACCCTAAACCCTAAACCCTAAACCCCGAACCTGAAGGTTTGGGGGGCTTTGGGGTTTCAGGGTTTGCAGCGTGGGAGATCCAGCGTCTTGATGGGCTTCTGCTTCAACTGGCGAGGCTTGAAAGTTTGAGGCTCAGAGATTTAGGGCCTAAGGCGCTTAAGGTTTAGGGGTCAAGGGGTTTAGGGCTTAGGGTTTATAAGGCTAAGGCGCTTTAGGTTTAGGGGTTCGGGGTTCAGTTTCGGTTTTGGGGTTTATGGGGCTTAGGGGGTTGGTCCCTGAACCCTAATTCCTAAACCCTAAACCTTAAATCCTGAACCGTAAGCCCTAAACCAGGGCTGTGGGTTCAAAGATCAGGCGTTCGGCTTCCGGGCTAAGCCGGGTAGAACGGAATCCGAAGCTAACATCGGGGCTTAAATAGTTAGTGCTAGTATTCCCTAGTACTCCTTCTTGTCATTAAACTATATTATTCCCATTCATACCCCGTAATTCTATTCGAATTATTAAAGCCGTATGACGTGGAATTGAAAGCACCCTAGCGAAGACACAGAGGCTTGGGGGTATCTCACCTGGTTTATAGGGTTCGGGAGTTTGGGTGCAGGGTTGAGTGGCTCGGGGCAAAAAATTTAAGGTTTAGCGTGGCTGATATTGCGCTTAAGTTTTAGCATGGACAAACCCTGCAATTCCTTCTTTTAGGGGGAAACCCGAGCAGAAACCCTAAACCCTAAACCGTGTTTTGGGCGCGAGGCGTCTAAAATTTAGAGTTCGAGGATTGCCTCGCAGGATTGAGGGTTCAGGGCTTCGCGTTCATGAGGGTTTAGACTTAACGGGAACTCGTTTTGCGTTCGCGTGTTAGCTGTTTTAGTATTTGGGATAGCCGATCCGAAACCCGGAAAACTAAACCCGAAAAGAGAGCATACGTCCCTCCCTCGCCCCAGGAATCTGCATCCAAAGAAGCGGGTCCAGGACCCTAAACCCTAAACCCTAAACCCTAAACCCTAAATCCTAAACCCTAGAGCCTGAAATCCTCGACCTTTAGCCTCCTTGAACCCTACCCATGGGCCGCATAGTAGCTCCTTTTTGGGATGACCTAATACTTGGAGGCCCAGGGGACTTAGTAAGCAGGTTATAAGTAGAGTTATAAGTACCCTAAATGGAGTTACCCCAATTATAACCCCACTTATAACCGACTTACTAAGTCCCATGGTCCTCCAAGTAGGATCCTAAGTATAAGCCACAAAAAGGAACTACTGTGGGGCCTATGCGTAAACCCTACTCCCCCAGACCCGAAATCTTGAACCCTAGAGAGCCTTATAAGCCCTAAACCCTAAACTGAACCCCAAACCCTAAACCCTAAACCCTAAACCCGATGCCCCGTAATCCCTAATTACCTGAACTCCCTGCGCCGAGGCCTGGAAAAAGGGCCAAAGGCCACCCGACAACGCCGGAATCTCCTTTCTGGTTTAGGGTTTAGGGTTTAGGGTTTAGGGTTTAGGGTTTAGGGTTTAGGGTTTAGGGCCTAAATCCGAAACCCTAAACCCTAAGGGTTTGGAATGCTGCTCTTCATAGGGGGTTGTCAGTTTAGGGTTTAGTGTTTCGGGCTTGGTGTTTTTCAGGCTTAGGGTCTCGGGAATGGGATTTAAGGGCTGAGGCAGTTTGGGGCTGTGGGTTTAGGGTTACTTGGGTTTGGGGGCTTCCAAGGTAATTGAGACCTTGAAAGCCGGTTCTTCTAGTAGGACTTAGGATTATCGCGACCCTTGGGGATATAGACCCTCTCCATAAGGTCCCTTTCAGAGAGCCCTCAGTAGGGTTAAGAAGGGTCCCCTTAAGGGGTTTCCCGAATGCTAGGTTCCCAGACACTCCAGGATCCCACAAGTACCCAAAGGATCATGGGACTTAGTAAGTAGGGTTATAACTAAGGTAGCTAGACTTATAACCCCAATTAGGGGACTTATAACCTTACTTACCAAGTCCCATGATCCTTTAAGTAGAGGGGCCCCTCGAATTAACAATGCTGATGGACTTTGTAGAGGATGTGTGGAGGGCTTCTTTATTGGGGTTACATAGTCTATGCTGTACTTGCCACCCTTGAAAAGATTCAATTTTCAGCTGTTTCTTAGGGGCCATTGCAACCAAAGACTAAAAACTACTTCCAAACCTTAAACCCTAAACCCTAAACCCTACGTAGTGTCTGTGACTTTAAAGAACAACCGGCTCTCTCCTCCTCGGTCATGGTGAGCAAGGTCTGCCCCGTCTTCGCCCGCTTGAGCTGCAGCGACTGTGTGGGTATACTGAACTCCTGCGATTCAGGGCTTCTGGGTTCAGGGCATGGCCTGGCGTTTAGGATGGGTGTCTTCGATTTCGGGGATATGACTCTACTATGATTACAATGCTGAGTCCTATAATCTTCCTGAACACCCTAAACCCTACACCATAAAGGTAGTTCTCTAAATAAGGGTCCCTTTTTAGGTCCCCAATATAGTACGGCACCCTTCTAAAAAGGACCGTAAAAAGAGAACTACTCATAAGCTGATACTGCTATTGTAAGGCTCAGAACCCTAAACGCTAACTTCCGACTCGGGATCCCTCAAGCTGAAAAGGAAGCCCTACCACCAGACGGCGCAAATGCGCGACGGCGCAAATGCAGACCCCCTATGAAAGGGCTCAAAAACCCTGAACTTCAAGGCTTCAGGGTTTGTGGCTTAGGGTTTAGGGTTTAGGTGTTAGGGTTCCCTTTGCAGTAAAAGCTTTATTGAGGCCCCTAACATAGAACCCCATTTTAGATCCCTTGTAGAACCCTTTAAGGATCCCTTTAAATGGGCCCTATTCTATGAAGGCCCCTATGTTCTCCTTAAGAAGACAAGGGGGAAAGCCTGGCCTTCGAGCCAGTGGCAACCATGGCCCCCGATTCCATCTCCTGAGCTCTCTATTGTAAACCCCAGAAAGTTGGAAAACCGGTTGGTTAGGGTTTAGGGTTTAGGGTTTAGGGTTTAGGGTTTAGGGTTTAGGGTTTAGGGTTTAGGGTTTAGGGAACCGGAGTTAAGGATAATTACTGCTGGGATTGCCTATACAGTACTCTTAAGGATTGAGGCTATCGGGTTTCCAACTTTTTGGGTTTCTACTGTAACTGGCAGCGGCTTTCGGTGCGGGAAGCCCCGAAGATGGCGGCTTTCCCTTTGAAACGCACCCCAGACCAACAAAAACGAAGCCTCTGCTTCTGAGCATTAAACCAAGCGTGAAAGCAACAAACCCTGAAGCCCGAGAGCGCGAAGACTCACCCAACTGCTCCGACTCCCTGAGCCAAGGAATATATTGAGTTGATGTCAACCTCCGTAGCCTTTGAGTCCCTAAACCCTAAACTCTACATACCCTGAACCTGTTCTCATTGCTGGCAGTGCCCTTCAACCCCAGACCTTAAACCCTACCCCAGACCTAAACACAAAACTAGCCTTAAACCCTAAGCCCTCAACTCAAAACTACCCCCTAACCCCTTAAAGTACCCTTAAAAAAGTACCCTTAAAAAAGTACCCTTAAACCCTAAACCCTAAAGCCTAAACCCTAAACCCCAACCCCCTAAACCCTAAACCCTAAACCCTTGGAGACAAAGCCACAGAAGGAAAGGTGGGCGTCTGAGCAATCGAGGCTGGAGCCTCTGTCATGGGGCATTTTCTGGGGTTTAGGGGGCTTTAGGGGTTTAGGGTTTAGGGTTTAGGGGGTTTTAGGGTTTTAGGG